TGCGTTAGAAGAGATTTTGATATCTTTAATTTTGTTGATTAATTCAAAACAATTGTTTATTGCAAATTTTGGTTTAAAATCTGTGTGGAACTTTAAAATATTTACTAATTTTGTTGAGAGTTTAACTGCTGGAGCCGTTACATAAGAAACGACTGGTCTTATGTAATTTAACTAAAAACTATAATTTCGGCAGTTGCGGATTCATAATTGTTACTAAATATTTGTTTTTGTTACTAAATAGTGATATCACTCGGCAGGATTGTGTTTGATACACTGGAAAAATTCTGGTTTAAAAAAGTTCTTTTTTTTTAAATATATTCTGGTAGATCGATAGCTATGACTGTCTTCCCTTTATCTGCACGTGTAAATATTATGTTATTTTCAGAAGCTTTGTTTTTGATAGATTTTTGCTAGTGACATTTGAGAAATTTCTTGGTGTTAATTGAGAGTTTATTACATTCGCTAATAAATGTTTGTATGTCGTCCACAACTCTCCTTACTATGATTGTCACTCCTTTTCTGTACCATTTGTTGAATCACTTACCGAAATCGGGACAGTTTTTTCCTACCCTGTTGAATGTTGACTTGGCTTCCAACACCATGTGTGATTTTACTAGGGATATATGACGAGACCGTTCGTCCTTGCCTTTCTTGGATCGCAGAAGTCGAAGAACATAATAGTTGCTTCGAAAACTAGCAATTAATGGTAGTCGAATCGATCAATTTCCACCTTAAACTTTTAGAAACCTCCGCTTTAAACGTAACTAATTACTTCGTCGAGACGGCGTGTCTGGCGGACCCTTTTTGCTACCCTTTCGCTCGTCTATAAACTTTTTCAAGCGACGCTAGAGTCGAGAAAAAGGTTTATATTCTTCATTGTCACAATTAAAGGGTCGCCAGGAAAAGTTTCGCTCTACTAGGAACTAGTCCGGACACAAATTCACATTCGATTTGTGTCCGGCACGTATCTGTCGGATAAAAGTCAAAAGCAGAAGTTTTGCCCGTCAGTTTTTGCGTATTACTCGGAGTTGCGCGAAAAGTTTCGCCGGGAGATTTTAACATCAAAACTTCCGGACGACAGCTATACCAATACGAAAGCGTCTGATATTTTCGTATCAACTGAAAACGAACCCTACAGACCAATGAGTGAAAGAAACGAAATTTCAAACAAAAAAAAGAACTGAAAGTTCAGATTTTCTCCACACTGAATCTCTAAGAACGATAATTGTAATAATCGAAAATCATCTTAAACATACTGAGAGAACAATCGAAGCCTAGCATTCGACGGTTATATCACAAAGGCAAATTCTTTTGATATAATTTAACTTAACGAGTTCAAGATTTGATCTAATTTAATACACACAAATATCAAATGCCTTCTACTGACAAAAAATATTTAGTATATGGAGACTTTTTTTTAGATACTTAGACCGGAAATATTCTGTATATTAATATTAAGTATAATAATAATAAAGTATCAGTCACTTAAAACTAACCAAAACTTAAAACTCCGCCACTAATCGTTCTAGACAAATATTCTCTTCTTTTATTACTCGTTTTTCACAGTTAGACCAGCTTTGTACTGATGTTTTAGTTACGAATTACGTTTATGGTAATATCACAAATTTTGGGGCAGTGTTATTTATGCATATACGCGCTTTGAACTCAGACCAAATCATCTTAAACGGGTTAAATATCCAATGATACGGGGGTAATCCCAAGATTTCATGTCCGCCTTTATTAAAATGTACTTTTTTATGCAGTTCAATGCTTAATTAAATTGAAAACGGTCCATTTGGGTTTCAATTAAAAAATTCAAGTTTCTACAAATATTCGTTACGGTCCATCTCAGGCAAGACCCACTTAATGCAGAACAAACACCTGTTGGAATGGGTTTTACCACGGGCACACTTAAAACGTCCAAGCAATCAATGCACTATATTTTTGGTCGTAGTCTACCTTTCCTCGTCCTTTCACCCTGCCACGGTTCTAGCTAATTTCGGAGCGATTTCGAACGCCGCACACGCTTGCCGCCGTTTTGACGAAACAATTAAAATTCCGAGCGCCTTTTTTAAACGTAAATAACGTTCCGCACCCTCCCGGGACCAAACGAACTCCCAAAAACCTGGTGATTTATCTGTCGTACCGCCTTAGAGAATACGGCGGGGGAACCGTGCCCGCTATTATCAAAATTGTTTCGCCGAATCTGCGAAAGGGCCTCTTTTAAATAACGACGACGATAAAAAATGATTTGTACGTGCATTTGGTTAAGTAACGAAGCCGAAACGGGAAGGACAATGCCCCGAACAAATGTCAATTCGTCGTAAGTCTCGGCAAGTCTTTGGAGCACGCGCCACTAAAGTGAATGCGATTGGAAAATTATAATAATAATAAATTGCCTTTATTGTTGTATATTGTTATATACAAATATGCAGTAGAGAAGAGGCGAAGTCTAGCAAAAGCTCCACTTAACCTCTTAAATGTTTAAATTGAAAACTAAATCTGAAGTTATAATTAAATTAAAAATAAATTAAATCTACCATAATAGGTAAATGTAATGGTAATATGGAACAATAGAAAGTTACTAAAAGTAAAAATAAAAAGAATAACATTGAAAATCAAATTATAATAAGACTTTTTCACCAACAAAGATACATATTCCACGAATCTAAGTCTACAATCAAGTATAGGGTTATTAATTTCGATGTATACAACTTTAAGTTGGCATTACTGTTCAAGATGGCGACCGACTTAACAGCGGTCAACTGATTTATTCTCAGTTTGGTTTGGCACGCCTGAACAACGCTTGCGAATAGTGCAATTTTATTTCGAAAGTAATGGTTCTGTGCGAAATACGTATCGCGCACTACGTCCATTTTATCGTCGACAAAATCGTCCATCAGAGCAGTTAATTCGATTAACCATGGAACGTTTTCGCACCACGTTTACTCTTATTGATAACTTGCATCCTCAGAGACGCCGTACGGTAAAGCGTAGCATTGAGGAAGATCCGGCGAACCTCCGAGATCTAGTTTCAGACATGTCAGAGATGTAGAAGTTGAAAAACAGTTTCCTTGGAAGTAACCCGTAGCACTTAAAAAACCCGGAAAGCTCCGCAAGTAAGCAGCTTCTCTCTAGTCTGAAGCCAGACTGCTCGATGCGAACCCTTTCCAGTATTTTGGCTTCATGCCCTCGGGAAGGGACACGTCACCTTCCCCGTAGCCGGAGCGAAATGAGAATAGGGAGTCCCCGATCAAATTCGACCGCTAAACACCCCGCGAAAAGTGAAATTAAACGCGAGAGAAATAAACGTAGTCCCGAAGATTCCGTCTCTCGTGTATATGCGAGGCCGCATTTTTCCGACAAAGGGAATATTTTAACGGTCTCTGAGATAGTTGTAGCTCGAATACGATTGCCGTGAAACAAAGGAATAACGAGCTCGCTTTTTCTAAAAAATTTATAAGGTAGACCCAAACGAGCAGTCTTAGAGTCGGTTCAGTAAAATAGGTTTGTAAAACAGGCAACAAAAGATGAATAGTATCAGTGCATAAGGGATTGACGACTGAAATGGCAATCCCGTCAAATTCGTCTTTTATTTTATGTTACCGATTCAAACAAGATTGTTTTTGAAAAATCGTCGCTGGACAGGGCAAGTTCGTAGCGCTTAGCACGAAGCAGCTTTTTATTATAAAAAGAGCTTCGCGGTTTCGTGTGGTAAAGAGACGCAACTTTCGCAAAATCGATATAATTTAATTGTGCATGCACCCTGTATTAAATGTCCTCCGCACCTCGTCGAACTTCAAAGTTACAGCAAACATCGGTAAATATTAAAATTGGCGCAAATAATAGCGTTGAACTTGAAACTCCCTCACGACACGGTTTACGATACTGTTCAAATAAAATTATCCCATCTTTGACGATTTTTCATTTATCGCCAGTAATTTACCCACAAAAACGGGATTTTTTAGGATATTTTAGATATTTTGCCCATAAACGACACACCCTGTATACGATACAATGTAATAAAATTTACCAGTTATACGAGGAATAAAGCGTGCCTACATTAGATATCTTAATTAGGAGGCTTGAAAAAGATGAAACCGGTGTTAAATGTGACAGAACTACCAACGGAAATCTGCCATTCGTCGTAACAATGTTTTTCCCCGTGTTAACTCCAATGTCCTCAAACTTATAGAAACCGAAGTTTTTAATATCCATCCATAAAGTTGGGCAAATTATGTTAAACATATACAAAAAGCAGAACAATCGTATATCCATGTTGCAAATAATATAGAACAAATAATAATTAGAACGGGCCATGATAGCGATAGTGATACTGATATATTATGTGAACAATTTTAAGTAATTTAAGTGGGTAATAAAAATAATTTGTTATTTTATTTTAGATTTAAACAAAAACACATACATAAATAAATAAATATTGTTTAGTATCTTTCCTAACAAAACCCCAAATAATTAAATTCTAAGCAAAGTACGGACCTGTTCGGCCATATTTCATTCTTACAGTTTGCCCGGGTCTTTCCTTAATTCGTATCAGTTAGTCACTTTTTTATATCTATGAACCGACCTTACCAGCCATGATACTCATTGGGAATAACTCCAGGTCGGAAAAGTTTAACTCGGTCATCCTTTTTGTTTTTGGATATTGGCAATGGTTCTGAGTAGCACTTTTTTAAATCTGACTCTTTCGGCGTACTACTGGGTGGGTCTACCGTTTCCTTTTCCTCTTACATTTAGAGCTTTGTATTCTTAATCGTAATTGTACCTGAACAATATTAAATTTTCATTTAAGCAAAAGACCTTGATATCAGGAGAACTTGGTTATTTTCTCTTGTGACTTGAACAATTGCAAAATATCAACAATTCTGTAGAAATATATTACGTTTTGAACATTTTACTGTTACAAATTAAATTCTAGAAAATTTGGACTAGGAAAAATGTAGATTTTTGATAACGGTCGCGTTTTTCGATTGTTCCAGGCACGTCAGGGGGCGACGCGTGTCCGAGCGTCGCGACGCTGAAACCGGGATCAGTGGCGTCTGGTTGCGACGAACTCGCCCCTGGCGATCGTCTGCTCAGCGTTAACGGGATCGGGGCGACGCGCATGCGCCCCGAAGACGTGGCATCGCTGCTCGATAACATCGACGGCAACGCCGTAATGGAGTTGGAGTACTCGTTGCCTAGCTACGGTAGGTTTCCGGTTTAATTTCCGCCGGATTAACCGGCTCGCGAAGAAGCTAATGCCGATTTAATTTCGGCCGAATTATTTTTCAACTCGCTTATGTGGGGGGGGGGGCGTTTTTTTTTTTATAGGGTTTCGCAATCGGTTTGTCCGTTTTAATTTGTGCGAAATTCGAGTCCGAAACGTTTAATTAATCCGCGGGTTTTTATTTGGACGGCGAAAATACGCGAACACGGCAGTGTTGTCAGATTTCCTCACAGACGTCCAACAAGAAGGGACCGCATCAGTCACTTGCGTTTAGACAAGGGACGAGTAACCTAGTAACCATTGGTGTGCGAGATTACAACCGAAATAAACACTTTTTAGTTAAGTTTACTTAACTTAACGTTTGTTTTATTTGGCACACGGTGTACAATATATCATTCAATTTGTTTCCTGTTTCCATCGGCCGAAACAAAAAAAAAACCGTTATCCGAAATTAGCCAGGTACTAATTGAAACATTAGCGGCTCGTCATTTCCCCCCGTTTTACGGAAATCGTTTGTTTTAGCTTCGCAGAATTCATTGTGCGTGTCGTCGAAAATCGCCGACGTCACAGTCGAACGCGTAGACGGCTCCTTGGGGATTACCCTGAGGGGAGGTTACGTTCCCGACCATCCGCACCTCAGCAGGCCTCTGATCGTCACCTATGTGAGACCCAACGGACCAGCGCACAGGTAAACTCAAACCCTTCATACAATAACTTTACTATAACTAATCAAAACATTCAGACTTGGATTAAACAGGAAAAAACTGGATGGAAGGGAATTGAGACATCATGAAAAAATCATGCTCATAGTAATTAAAGCCCCTCAGCTCCTCAATAGGAGAGTTGAATTGGGCCAGCCGGAATTTTTCAGAGTATCATGGGCTTTGAAAGTTCCCTTTGCCCCAACCAATTCGGAATACGCGCCTGATCCAAAAAGTTGTCACTTGAGAATGTTATTCGCTTTCTATTATTCAGATACGATGACATAGGAGTAAAACATTCATTAGAAAATCCATAATATTTTATCTTTGATATTGATATTGAGAACCTTCGGGAAATCTAACAGCACCTAACGGTACTCAGAGTACCTAAAGTAGACCCCTGTGGCACCCCCGATGGAATTCGCACCTGATCCCAAAATTTGTCACTTGAGGATATTATTTGCTTTCTATTATTCAGATAGGATGACGTTAGAGTAAAACATTCATTAGAAAATCCATAATATTTCATCTTTCATCATCGAAGACCTCCGTGAAATCTAATTCTAGCTCTCAAAATTTCACCATACAAGTTCAATAGAGAAATAACAGTGATATGAAATTTCCTAAATCCAAATTGGCGAATTCTTTTTGCAGATTTTTGAACTATATGATTATAAAAATTTATGGTTGATGCACATGCATAGGTTATTGTTTATAAGTCTTCCATAAACAAAACTTGCTCATGCTTCACCAATCATCCTGTCGACTTCTTCCCGGCTTAGCTGAATTTCGGGAAGGTTTGTACATAGCCACATTTGTCGTCACTGTTCTCCAACAAAGAGACAAAACAACGAATAATGTCATCTTGGGTAGTTCTTCATTCGTAAATGTTCTGAGTAGTGAACTTCTTTCTGTCTTCTATTTCAATCGATGTATGATCTGTTCATAGATATAAGAAAATGACCAATTGCTTTTGAATGGGATTACCCAAGGCTGGTCAATGCAACCAGATTATTACCTAAAGTTTCGGAATTTAAATTCAGGTAAAATTGTGGATTTAAACATAAATAAATAAATATTGTTTAGTATCTTTCCTAACAACACCCCAAATAATTAAATTCTACCCAAAGTACTGACCTGTTCGGCCATATTTCATTCTTACAGCTTGCCCGGGTCTTTCCTTAATTCGTATCAGTTACTCACTTTCTTATATCTATGAACAGACTTTACCTATTGTAAAAGTATTACCGCAAACATTTTTCTTACGCCTATACCGATGGAGGCGGTTGTAATGCGGGCATTTGTCTTCAGCAGCTCCTTTTCTTTTAATTTAGAAGCACTTTTCGGTCGCACACATCCATTAGCGGCCAACACACAGCCAGGGTTAACGACTCGGTGGCTAAATTGCACCCTGTCACAGCGTAAACCGATGCCAGCGAAGAAATTGCAATAATTACGGTAATTAAGGATCGTCCATGTCGGAGATTTGAAACTTTGCCATAATTACCGAACGTTATCGTTTCGCCTGGCCGTTTAGCTGCTGCGAAGTATACGGGAAACTTGAAACGGCAAGTTTTAAGGCACATTGTCCTTGGGAAGTACAAGTCCGCAAAGAAATTCGCGTTTCATTGGCACCGCCAATTTCGATAAAAATGTTCGACATAATAAACCTTGAGTCTGTTTCCTACGACGACCAGAACTAACTAAAATACTGTGGAACTATAAAACTCATTCGTATTCTTTGGGCGCGGTGACGTACCCTTAACGATTGTCAAGAGTCTCGAGAGTGGCAGATAGTAGAAATTAAAAACCGTAGCAATGCCGCTACAATAGAAAGCTTTTGCTACGAACGTTGGTTAGTTAGATTTCATTTACAGTATTCCGATAATTTGTTCATTCCAAACATAGGCCGTATATAACGAAGCCGTATTATAGATCGAATATGTCATATATGCAAATTGTTTGGGATTCCTATGGGTGACCCGTGCGCTTGTTTGTTGCACTCGATAAATCACTACCCAAATTTCTTGATAAACGATTTTTCAATTGATGAAAATAAATTATATTTTTTAAAGAAAACAAAGAAGTAACATTCTTTAAATGAATTACATAGCCCTTTGGATGAAGGCTGAGTCTAGCTCTTTTTCGAGACGTCTAGCCAGAGAGACTCATCGAACTGACTAACATTCCAGGGGCCGGCGGCCTATCATGGACTCGCGAAGCCGGGTCACGCGCCTACTATGTTGCGTTGTAATTCCGCACACAGATGAAATAATTAATAATTATATATAAAAAAAATTGCATAGTTTTTTATTAACAAAAAGCATGGGTTATTCGTTATATTTCGACACCAACCTACAAATGTCACAAAAAACAAACGACGATCGCGAGCTGTCAAAATGAAAGCAACCTCATTTTTAAAAAAATGGAATGCCCTATATTGTCCTAAATTGTAGCTGTTTTTGAGATATTTCAGTTTAAAAATAATTATCATTCGATTTCTGGCCAATGGCCATATTGTTTAAAAATGGTCAAACTGTTTTGATAGCAACCATGGTATGTATGTTTGCAATCGTTTTCACAATGTTTTACTTTTAAGTTAAGTTTACTTTTAAGTTAAATAACTTAAGATATTTCAAAAACTTACGCTGCGAATCTTTTGTTTTGTTTAGTTGTCAAAAGTAGAACATTGTTAAAACAATTGAACACATAGGTAATATGGTGGCTATCATAGCAGACTTTTTAAACTGACATATCTCAGAAAAGGGATAAATGAAACGTCAATAAACTACATGTTTTTGAAATCAGGAAAATTATCTAAGTTAATAATATATAGGGCATTCCATAAAAAAAATATGTTTCTGTCATTAAATCTTGAAACTAAACTTTTGTATTTGCACTTTTTTTTCTATGCTTCAAAAACAACCCTGCAGGGGGGGTGTCAAAATATAATGAATAACCCTGTACTATACATCGACAAAAGGTCTTAATTTGGTTCATTCTACGGATGCCTGCGGTCATTTTCCAGGACCGGCCTAATCCGCGTTGGCGATCGGCTGCTGAAAGTGGACCGTCACTCGTTGATCAACAAAACGCTTTTGGAAGCCCAGCAGATACTGAGAGACTGCGGCGGACCCAGCGCCCACGGTATCACGCTCACCAACCTCACCATCGAATACGACGTCAGCGTGATGGAGTCTGTGAAATACGCGAGTGGTCCGCTGCTCGTGGAAATCGATAGGTAATAATTGAATGATCAGTTGCGACATTTTCAAGACTTTCATGGCTACGACAGCCATTTTGTATCCGCGCAAATTTTTCTGATAATTCTATTAAACACGAATCGAACTTTTCTCGTCCATATTATGCCACCAGAGGATATAGGAGGATATTATTAAAATTATGCGATATTGCTCATGTTAAAAACAATTAAGATGGAAAAAATAGTGTTTAGTTTTTTGTTTATAATTCGTAAACTAATATTTCTTTTGGATTTCGAAAAAAAGGTCCTGAAATGACCAAAAAAAAAAATTCGGATTCCCGAAAGTGTACCTTCATTATTAATAATTCTAATTTAACGTTGAAGTTTTTAGGATATATAAGGAAGATTTTCTTAATAATATTTTTTATTTAATAAAAGTTTCTTTTTTCATCTAGCGAGTGTAAAAATAATTAAAGAAAAAAAATGCATACATTTTTTCAAAATGAAATAAAAAGAAAAATTGTAATTGTTTATACAAAAATCAAATATAAAATAAATAAATAACTGCAACTGCAACTGCAATATCAAAAAAATCTCTAATTTATATAAGCCAATGCAGAACACATCAGATAAATAATTAATAGAAAATTAGTAAATGACTTATTTGAAAGACAATGTCAATACCAACAAAAATGACCTGAATGTTTATTGTCGTATCTGTAACAGTTTAAAAGTTTTTAAGTCAACAAATGGACCAGCTGCTGTAACTTTTGTACTACGTATATTTTCCAGGGGCGTTTTTGTAAAACTTTCAGAAAAAAAATGAAAAATTAACAATGTGTTCATAACAAACTCTTGATATAATAAACAATGAAATTGTTAATGAAAAAAAAATTTTGTTTGTAAATTTGTAGAGAACTGTCAATTATACAATACTTGCAAACTTTCGCAGACAGCTCGAGGAAGAGTTCGGATTGCTGCTGACCAACTGCAGTCCGCTGCTCGACTCGCACTCGTCCCAAGACGATATCCTAGCGGCTGGGTATTTCGTCGACAGAATTCTACCGGCCACCACGGCCGATAGATGCGGCGCCCTCTCCGTGGGCGACCAGCTGCTCGCCGTAGACGACATCCATTTGGACTCGTGGAATGGCTCGCCGTGTGAAGCGGAGAAGCTGCTTCGAAGGGCCACGAAGCTGCAGGTGCTGCCGTACCACGCGTTGCAGAGGGTGCATTCGAGGAATTTTGGCATCGGGGGTAAGCCTATTCGCATAGTTAACCCGCAAACGGTTTGAACCCTTTTATTTTGATTTCGATTGGTCGGAAATTCCGCCGTAAGTCAGAAATTCCGAGTTGTTTTTCGGGAATTCTAACTTTGTCATCAAACATTTGCCTAATTATGCTAGAACCTACATTTTTTGTTGGCTTTTCACCGCTTTCTTTTTGGAGGAATAACTTAGAATTTCTGAAAAACAAATCAGCATTTCTAAAAAATAAATCAATATTTCTGCCTAACAAGTCAAAATTTCTAAGTCATAATTTTTAAAAGATAGGTCAGAATTTCCGAAAAACAATTCAAAATTTCTGAGAAATAAATATTGAGAAATAAGTTCGAATTTTCGAAAAACAAGTAAGACTTTCTAAAAAACAATTCCAAATTGTTGCAAAACAACTCAGAGTTTCTAAGAAACATTTAATTTTTTTTTTATTTATTTCTGTGTGACAATTCTAAATTTGTCATAAAAAATTGATCCAACTGTGGTAAAACCTACATTTTTTGTTAGCTTTTCACCGGTTTCTATTTTGAGAAACATGTTAGCATTTGTGACAAATAAATCAGGATTTCTGAAAAATAAATTTTTATGAAATAAGTCCTAATATAAAAAAAAAACAAGGCATAATTTCTGAGAAATAAATAAACATTTTTGGGAAATAAGTTGGAAAGGTCAAAATTTCTGAAAAACAACTCTGAGTTTCTAAGCAACAAGTCATTTTTTTTATTTATTAAAGATTTTTTTGACAAAAAGTCTGAATTTATGGCCAATAAGTCAGACTTTCTGCCTAATAAGTCATAATTCCTTAGCCTTAATTTTTAAGACATAGGTCAGAATTTATGAAAAACAAGGCATAATTTCTGAGAAATAAATAATAACAATTCAAAATTGTTGAAAAACAACTCAGAGTTTCTAAGAAACATTTCAGTTTTTTTATTTATTTCTGTGTGACAATTCGAAATTTGTCATCAAAAATTGTCCTAACTATGCTAGTATCTACATTTTTTGGTTAGCTTTTCACCGCTTTTTTTTTGTGAGGAATCAACTTAAAATCTCTGAAAAACAAGTCAGCATTTGTGACAACTAAATTTGGATTGCTGCCAAACAAGTCAACATTTGCAAGTCGTAATTTTTAAGATAGGGGTCAGAATTTCTGAAAAATAAGGCATAATTTCCGAGAAATAAATAATAACTTCTGACAAATAAGTTAGAATTTCTGAAAAACAAGTAAGGATTTCTAAAAAACAATTATTTTTTTTTTATTTATTTCAGAATTTCTGAAAAGAACTGAATTTATGGCAAACAAGTCAGAATCTTCTGAAAAACAAGAACTTCTCAGAAATAATTAAGGATTTCTGAAAAATCGGTCACAATTACTGACTTAAGTCAGAATTTCTGAGAAATAATTAAGAATTTCTGAAAAATAAGTCATAATTACTGACCCAAATAAAAATTCATAAGAAATGAGTCGCAGTACTTGAGTTAAGTCGGAATTTCTGAGAAATAAGTCAGAATTGCTGATTTAACTCTGAATTTTTGAGAAATAGAGAAAACTCTATTTGTTGAATTAAACAGATGTGCAGTTTTAAAGCGATCGACTGAGATGAAATCAGTATATTATAATCATGAACATTCATATATTAATTTCGTTTATTTTTTGTCTTTAATATAATTACAAAGGTATCCAACATTACTTTTTGTTTTACAGTTAATATTTGTAACACATCTAACGTAGTCATCATTTCAGAATTGCGCGAATTGCTCTGTTTTGTAGTCTCCGAAATTTTGTTGGTCTATAGTTAGGTATAGTAAACAATAAAGTTGAACAAATTAGTCAGAATTTCTGACTAAAATCAAAATAAAAAAAATTGAGAAGTCTTCACATAAAGTTTAAATGGTTAAGAAAGTTCAGTTCTTTCTGTAATTTATTATGTGTGTTCCGCAAGTATAGAACTAGCAGCTACTTGCTAAAACTTCTGGTTATAGACTAAACACGGGTTTCATTTTTGAAAATAATTTTAAAATTAATTTTTTGAACGGTTAAAGTCGACTTCGTTCGAATAATTTCGAGCTTTGCTGCAGAGAAACATCGATTTTAAAAAGCGCGACGCAAAAACAACAAAGCCGCCGTCTGTAACTTAATGAAAACTCACCCGAAAGTTGGCGAACTCGGGCCCGAACCACGTCGTCGAAGTAAATAGTTGAGTTTTTTTTTGCTCCCCGATAATTCGTTTGGCTCGTGGAAAACTCGCGCGGTAACTTTCGGAGTTGCATAAATTAAATCGACGCGAAACTTTTCGTTGCAGACGATTCCTGCTGTTTCCCTGATGTATCTCATTGTTGTTTTTATGAATTTTATTATTGTCTTGACTTGTCGGTAGAGGTTAGTTTTTTTTTAAGTACTGATCAATAAACTTAACAAACAGTTTATAAAAAAAATCCAATGGAAATTGTACACCGTATGCCAAATAAAACGACCCACTTTACGATATGAAAACCCATAGGAGGTAGAAAAAAAGTCTCGTACAAAAGTTTCTTGGACTCTCCTGAAGATTAAAAATTTTATAATTTTGTTGATAGAGTCTGTCCCAAAAGTGTCCCGAGTTGAATCTAAAGTAAGTTAAGGTGTGGTCAAGTGCAGCTAAGGTGAAACTTGCCCGAAACTGTGAATTTTGTGAATCTCTAGGTTTTCAGCAAGCAATAATCATAAAAATATCTGGCCCAAGTTAAATGTTGAGATAATTGTACCAGGTGACCCATAAATAAAGGTAAATCAGTCAAGAGAAAAAGCTGGAAATTATTTTCAAGTTCATAAAATGGCCGCTAGGGGGTGTAACCTCCACTGCAAAATAGAAAACAACTGGTTTTCTCAGTACCTGCCATGTCAATATGACTATATTAATTCTTTTACGACTCCGTAGGGGGCGCTTCAGTCAAAACCAGTTATTTTTATGATTTTCTCTAAAATTTTATATATAATGGTATAAATATTTTTAGCCAGCAAATTGTGTTTATTTACCAGAGGTAAATTAGATTTTGTTCTAATTTGTTTATGGGCCACCCGGTACAATAAAGGACTTGCTATATTGAACAATATGCTAACTTTGAAGTTATTAACGAAAAGCATGCCGAAGAGCTTTTGGAATATAGATGACCAAGTGCATTTCATTCAATTATTTCAAGTTGAACGAGACCAAACTTTTATTGAATACTTAAACTTTACCGTCGTATTTTTTAAAAAAACGATACCAATTCCTCTCGTTTGGCTTTCAAGAAGACGCGATTTCTTGCCCAAATCGGATTTCCATTAACAGTTTCCGCAAACATTTGCAACTTTTGCCTCTGTTTCTGGTTACTTCTCAGAGAATCATATCTTTGGTTAATTATCATTCGCGAATCTGCCTGAAGTTTTGCCACGGCTACAAACGAATTGTTATACTTTGCGAAATTATTTACCGCGCCGGGAAACTCAACTTCGAAGAAAGTTAACGCTGGTTAATTCCTGGTTGGAGCCCTGGCGACGTCACTAATGAGACAGACAGGGGGACTTGCGAGAAGCAAGTGTAGTACGTTTGAGTCTCGTCGGTTTTTAAGAAAATTTTTCAAGATGCAGGTTTTTTGTTTCGGATGAAAATATTGCTGTTTCCAAAATACAGTTCTTCATCTTCTTCTTCTTCTTACGTTATTTGAGGACTGGTTTGAAAATAAACTGTTGGCAAAACTATCGCCAAATACTCTTATTGTGTTGGATGGATAATGCCTAATGCCTGAACTAACTGTGAAAAACGAGTAATACCAAAAGAAAATGTTTGACCATTGAATTAGGTGACGACGGTAGCGATGGTGGCGATTTTTTAAGTGACATACTTTAGTATTATTATATTGAATAGTTTGTATATTAAATGTCATGAATTAGAACGTAATAAATTGTTACTTTGTACAATATTTTTTTTGTACATGTTTCAAGATTGAAAATATACTTATATCCCGCTTGGTAGTGTAGGTAGATATATTCCTAGGAAATGTTTACGGATAAGGGGTCGCGGTTTTGAAGTATTAACCTGCAGGCAAAGTTAATCACGCGGTCGTTTGTAAAAACACTATATTTCTGGTGGAAGTATAACAATCGAAAAACATATATATCCGTTCGAAAGTGGGAGTTCGGTGAATAACTCCGTCACCGACGCCGACGATGATCGATCTCTGTCGTTTTCAGAAAACCCGATACCGTTGTTCCCGTAGGAACTCGATATTTGTTCGTTTCTTTCGTGGTCGTATCAATTCGATCCTCGTTAAATACATTTGGGTCCCTGCCCGGGAGTTTTTCCCGATTTAAGTACGGGATTTCGTGTTTGTTTTCGGCCGGGGGAATCTAAAACGCGCCAGGTACATTAGCGAAACGAGAATTTAAATGTTATAAGTTCCGGAGGCGACGACGGCCGTAATGGGAGCTTACGACGGGCAGCGGCCGCTCCGAAATGAAAATTAACAACTTTTCTTAGTTATTCCGGGGGACGTTAAACCGGATCGCCTCGCGGCGCGATGAAATTTCCCGGAAAACTCGCTAATCGGATGAAACCCGGTCGTGATAAATTGAATAATACGATTTGGATAGTCTGGGCTCTCCGACGGCCTTCACCCACGTACGTGTGCAGTGCCGTGTTATAATGTCTCGTTTGACGGACTATCCGCCACAACTTTAAGGAAGAGAGAGTCTGCGGTTTAGATTCGATTGTACAGGGTTATTCATTATATTTTGAGACCCACCTACAGGGTTAATTCTGAAAGATAAAAAAACTGTAAATTTGAAGATTTTTGCTCTATTACCATATGCAAATGTCAGAAAAAACAAACGACAATCGCGAGCTGTCAAAATGACAGTAACGTCATTTTTTTAAACGGAATGCCCTATATGTTATTAGATTGCTTTATTTCCTGGTCTCATTTGGCCGTTTTTCAGATATTTCAGTTTAAAAATAATTA